AAGGTCCTTATTTTTGGTTTAATAGAATTTGGACTTTAGACAATGCTATACATAAATTTTTATTAAGCTAAGATGATTATACAATATTATATGTTCTAAATACTCTCAAACATTTAACAATAAATGCCTAATCACTCTTGTTGCAGTTGCTAGTGCTCAAATCTAAAACCTCTAAGAACAACAACCATTCATTTAACCACTGAGATAAATTAAATTAAGTCTAATTCAATTACATAAATACTTATAAATCATATTAAAAAACATATTTAAATTAGATGTGTCACACCCCAATTTAGGGGTTAAATTTTAATAATTTTAATTATTGAATTAAAGTCGTAACAAGGGAAAAGTTACGGACCAAATTACAAATTTCTAAAAGTTGTAGCTCGATTTTGAAACTTGTAGAAAATTCAAGGACTTGAACCCAAATTATCCTATTTTTATTACTCAGTGAAAAATAAGCCCCCGATAGAGCAACCCCAAATCAGAATCCCTAACCCCTAAATTCCTTCTGCCGGTCGACCTCTTTACCGCCTCAATACACCGTCGTCCAACCACCCCAGCCCGCGCCACTACCCTCAAAACGATCGCTACCCTACTCCGATCAAAACCCGACCCCTATCCCATCATGAATCGACATCGTTCTTCGTAAAACCCGTCGTGAAGTCTCGATATTTTCAACCCCGCTACTGCACATTTCGTCGATTCCGGCCAAATCGTCGATCGTCGTGCCTCACAGCCTTCACCATTGCAATCACCGGTGTCGTACGACCAAAACCCGACCGGGTTCATCGCCCATCGTCGTCGTTTTCGCCGATCACCGGCATGGGTAAGCGTTTCAATCAATTTCTTTTATTCCGATGGATATTGACTGATTTTTTTATATTAATTGTGGGTTGTTTTGGTGTTTGGTTGCTTTTTGGTTAATCGGCCTTTGCCCCTGTCCTCATCGTCCGCCGCACGCGGTGCCACGAGCCTCTAATGCTCGTGGGCTTCGTTTCAGCCAATTCAACCTAGTATTCTAGAAGCTGAGTAAACTCAAACCGAGTTTTCCGAGTCAACTCAGATCGGGTCAACTCATTGACTGTTGACTGGTCTGACCGTTGACTTTGACTGAAAAAGTCAAATTTTTTGAAAAGTCATATTTTATGTTTTTCGATGTCCTGAGTCCGAATCAGAAGTTTGTTTTTCCAAATTCGCACTCGGTAAGACATTTTTCAGTGTTTTATCTTCGGATTCAAGTTGGTTTCTCAATTAAATTCAGTTTCTAATGTAAATTCGTTTGCTTTGTATCTGAGAAATTATTGGATGTTCGATTAAAGTTCAAGGGCTATCGAATGAAGTTTAAATGGTCGATTGATATGGCATGAAAACTGAGGTAATATTCTACTACGTTTTGTATGTTTTATGGAACAAATTGATAACTGATAAATGCATGAATGGAAATAATTGGTCCATGAGATGTATTTAATTATCATTAGACTCAAATTAAATTTGGGATAAAGACGGAACACTGTATAAGACTCAAACGGCTCGTAAAAGAAATTGGTAGACCAATCGAAAACAAATCTAAGTTCAGTAATTTAATAAGTAAATCAATTAATCTCAGGACTCGTAAATTCTGATTAATCTCATTAAAGGTTAAATGTCAGAAATACTTGGATACGAAACTACAAAAATACTGGTATGTTGTAAAAGATAAGGTTTTACCCTGAAAGTGAAAATAAACATGTTAATCGCTCATGATCTTGAGATGGTAAAGGACTTAAAATTTCCAATTCCTGAGTGAACACTCAGAGTCTAAATTATCGAAGGTACCTTACACGTCTAAATTACTCAAAATGAAAAAGTTGAACTGAATGGAAGTATTGTACGTATTCGAATTGTTAAAACAATAGAATTACTCAGGAAACTCCTAAGTGGCCGGGATAAACTTGAATACTAATTGAATTAAGTACCCCGATGACCTTGAATTAAGCTAATAACTTGGATAAGTCTGGAATCACTGATGATCTTATATATTGTACCGTCTATAAGGGTTTGAACCACGAATCAAGCACGTCGACATTTTTTGATATCGTTGCAATGTAGAAATGAAATAAAGACAATTGGAATATATGTTCGTCTCCCGAAGATCCATTCAGCGATAATTCTGAAGTTGATCATTTGACAAGAGTTTTCTGTATTAAAGAGTGAATACCCTTGAAGTGCAACGATTTGACCTAGTTAACAAGTATCATTGTTGAGATTTGTACAGTTCGAGATAACTCGATATTCCGTAGATTAACACAAATCTTAAATGCCCTAAATCTTTGTTTCTCCCTTATTAGCCCAAATTATTAAGAATTTTCCAAGAACATCATGCCCAGAATGCCTCTGATTTCCTGGATAATGGAATTACTCCTGTCATACCTGAAAACACATGTAACTCTGATGCAAATATCCTGAATACCTTTTTGATTGCATAGTGCCTACGAAAAGTATCCGAATACTATATGATCCTGATAAATCACGTTCTGAATAACTGATGAATCCATCAGCTATCAAACCCTATTATGGGGACCTCATCTCTAAATTTAATCAGTTTACAGAAGTTTCATGGACTCCCTATATGATAAATACAATCCCCTCCGAATAATATTTGGAACCTCTAGTGTGTTCCCTTATCACAATGATGTTTTCTCTAATTTCAAAAGTATGTCTCTGTTATATGAAATACAGCCTGACCTCTGATTTTTTCTCTGAACTTTGATATATGTTATGATCTATGATTTTTGTTCTGATTTCTAATCTCTGCTCTGATTTATGATATCTCTATTTACTGACTGAAATTATTTTTATACGGGGTACTCTGGGACTTTGGTATGACTCAAGACACTGGCAAGTTCAATCACTGTTGGTAATTCCTTGTATAGGTTCAACACCGACTGGTAACTTCTTATGGACTTAAGGCGACTCTTGGGTGGGCTCCTGGACCTAATGTGCCTAGTGGTAAAACCTTATGGACCCTAAGGCACTCCCTTAGGGTGGCTCTCTTACTGTGTGCATTGGGTGAGTCCTTATGGGCCTGAGGGCACTCCCCTCAGGTGGGCACCTACGCTTCGACTAGGGTAAGACCTTATGGACCTAAGGTGCTCCCTTAGGTTGGCACCTACGCTCTTTGGGCCTAGGGTAAGTCCTTATGGATGCAATTCTGGGGAACTGCATATTGGCATTTGGTTGGAGGGTTTTACTATTGTTTTTAATTATACGTTTTAAACTGTCACTATTTTAAAAAGGATATGTACATTTTCACTGGTTTTGTGGGAACACACTAGACAACATATTATAATCTCCTGAACCAAGTCATCCGAAACAGTTTCTCTGAACTGAAAACTTCTTGTCTTTTACTACCTGAGATATCAGGGGGACCTCAGGTCAATATAAAAATTTGTAAATGTCTGAATCAATAAGGAAGTTTTATGCTTACCTATTATAAGCATGTCTTTCAGCATCACTTAGTAGTTCTGTATTACTGAGCTTTCCAAAGCTAACTTTGTTACTCACTATTTCATGTTAAATGGTTCAAACCAATGCAACTATCAACATCAGTAAAGGAGTTTATCCGACGTTGCTTGTAGAATACGGTGTATGTGATTAGGGGGCATGTAGGTTGTATTTTATTTTTATACGCGAGTCTAAAATCTGTTTTATTTATGAATATTGGTAAATTTTAATTTTGTATTTATAAATTATTTTAGAAATTTTAATTTTTTCAAGATTTTTACGGTGGGTTGCTCTGGTGGCCCTAATGTGATACCCCGGGTTGGATCGGATCACCTGCATCGGTCAGTGGGTGTTACGAGATGAATTTGAAAAACTATAATTTATGTTAAATTTATTTAAAAACCATTTAAAAATATTTAATTCTCTAAAAAGAATTGTTCACCATTTGATTAAGGTTTAATTGCATCACATATTCTCAAAGTATGACCCCATTTTAAATTAGTCCCCAAACTTTTAAATGTTTCAATTTCATCCTTAAACTACGACTATCAATCTAAATTAGTCCTCAAACTTTTGAACATTTCAATTTCATCCTCAAACTATGACCTTTATTCTCAATTGGTCCCCAAACTTTTTGAACATTTCAATTTTATCCCAAACTAAATATATATACTAATCACATCCCTTGTTAATAAAATCATTAGGCCAAGTTATATTATTAGATGTGTGAGAAAACAAAATTTAGGTTAAAATATGGTTAAAACTAATCACATATTTGGATGAATTTGTAGATGAAATTGGAATATTCAAAAGTTTGGGGACTAATTTAGAAAGAGTGTCATAGTTTGGGAGAAATTAGAATTCTCAAAAGATTAAGGAATAATTTAGAGTGAGTCATTTTTGGGGATGACATTAAAATATTCAAAAGTTTAAGGACCAATTTAAAATAAGGATTATAGTTTGGGGACATATGGTGCAATTAAGTCTTTGATTAAAAAATAATTATGGTTACTATTTATCTTTTCGTTTTTGTATGTAGTATGATTACTAATATTTTATAACGTAAAATCAATGTTTATTCTTTGTTTGTCTACGGACAGAGAGAAGATGGTGGGAAAAGGAGCACCGAAATTGAAAAAACCTAGCTTGGGTGAGTAGGAAAACCCAGGTAAAGGTGTAGGTATGGTATATAGTATAGGGGTATAGGCAGCCACGTGAGAGGCGGAAGGACAGTTCAACAAGTATGGGATAATCCATAATCCCACACCACAAAGCAAACCCCTTAATCAAAAGCTTCAAAGCAATGATTCATGACATTTGCAGGGAATCATTCCATGATGATAATCGTGATCAATGGATGGATATCTCAATGGAACCAAAAAGCAAAAGCAAAAGCTAAAAACTCATACATAATAAAGCAAACCCCACCGTCCTCTACTTTTTCATTCCTTCTTTTTGTCTTCATTACTCCATATATTTATATCATCTGCATCTTCTTCTTCTTTAATTTATCCCTTCTTTCTCTCTGTCTCTTAAACTATGGCTCCTGTTTCCTTACCGCCTGGTTTTCGTTTCCACCCAACAGACGAAGAGCTCATTGTTTATTACCTCAAGAGGAAGATTAATGGCCGCCAGATTGAATTGGAAGTCATCCCTGAAGTCGATCTTTACAAGTGTGAGCCCTGGGATTTACCAGGTTTGTCCATTTTTAACTTTCTTCCACTCATTTTCCATTCCCAGTTTATTTTTTGAAGATTAAAGTTTATTATTTGTGAAGAAAGGAATAACCCTGCACATAAAATAACAGATTCAAAACAGAAACGAAAAATTTTCAATTTCTGAGTGATAAAATGAAGGCAAAAATGGTTTGAGGAAGATGACTCGCTTTCTTTCTGAAGTAATAATGACTGACACCGAATATAACTTTTGTATTTTTTGGTTGGTACCGAACGTGCTTTATGGTCAAACATCCTATACTTTTAATTAGAAATCTGTGATTTGGCTACGAGCCCTACGCCTGGAAGTTTAATAATAAGACAATATGAGAAAGAGAAAGCAAATAAACCCTAACAAGAGCATGAACGATAAAGTGATGGAGTTTTTTTTTAACATAGGGATAGGATTGAATTTAATTGATTTTTTTTCTCAACTTTATTATCAGGGAAATCATTGTTACCTAGCAAGGATCTAGAATGGTACTTTTTTAGTCCTCGAGATCGCAAGTACCCGAATGGATCAAGGACCAATAGAGCAACAAAATCTGGGTATTGGAAAGCCACAGGGAAAGACAGGAAAGTGAACTCAAATACGCGTGCTGTAGGGATGAAGAAAACCCTCGTTTACCATCGAGGGAGAGCTCCCCATGGTTCTCGAACAGACTGGGTCATGCATGAATACCGTCTCGATGACAGCGAATGTGAATCTGCCTCCGCAGGCTTGAATGTAACCTCACTAGCTTAACAACAATTTAAATCATTCCATGATTGAGTTTCATCTGAAATAATTTTATTAATGTTTCCTTGGTGCAGGATGCTTATGCTCTTTGCCGTGTGTTTAAGAAAAGCGCAACGACTACCCCCAAGATTACTAGTGAACATTCTAATTCCAGCATTGATTTATATTCCGAAGACCGATGCGAAGAGAGTTCGGATTTTGCGAGAGCTGTCAACGGTTGTCGTTCATCCAGTATTCTCAGTAGATCTTTCATTGATGATGTTTCTGATGCAAGAGATGTTAAATGGATGCAATGCTTATCGGAAGATACGTTTGGATTAAGTAATCCTTCCCTTTCGACCTATGCAACTATACCCTATGCCCCATCTAAGGTGATCTTTTAAAACAAAATGAAATGACAATGATTATTATACTGATGTATTTGATTGATTATTCATTCAATACTATTCTCCAGGTTGATGTAGCTCTAGAGTGTGCAAGGTTACAGCAGCAGATGTCATTACCATCTCTAGAAGTTGAAGATTTCCCTCAAGTTGGTGTCACCAATTGCAAACTGATGATGCGTGAATCCCGACTTGAAATCGACATATTAGACGAAATCATGGCCGTTGCTCATACTTCTCAGCAACTGATAAATCAAGATGCTTGGGGAAGTAGCTCTGGTAATCCCCATGATTTCACCTTTATGAATACCACGGCCGCCACTTCCGTCAATGATCAGATGATTTTTCCGCAATACACCGATAAACCACTGGAAGAATCGAGTATTAGGACGACGATAGTACAGAGAGATCGAATGGTCGAAAATTTGAGATGGGTGGGAATGTCAAACAAAGATTTAGAGCAGGTACATAACTCTCTAAATCCATATTTTTATATAAGGTAAAGTACACAAATTGTCCCAGATTATAAGATATTCTTTTATTGAGTCATTCGACTATTGAAAGTTACAAAATAATCCAATAATAGAGTGTTGCTTTGTTGAGTTTTTCGACTACTAAAAATTACAAAATGATCATGTGACTATTCATAAATATGTTCCAAACTTGCCATTTTTTATTAAAAAATTTATAACAATCTAAGCAAGACGTTAACATATTGATTGAGATCTGATAAAATTTAGTCTCAAAATCTCAAACAAATATACAGCTGAAACGATTTTGAAATCATATTTTATCGTATTCTAATTAGCAGATTAACGTCTAGCTCAGATGAATATCAATTTTTTTAATAAAAAAGACGAGTTTTGTAACATATAAATACTCAAGTAACCATTTCATAACTTTTAATAGTCGAGAGATTTAATAAAAAAATGCTTTGTAGTTGGGGACCATTTATGTACTTTACCCTTTTACAATGCAAGATCTAATTTGTTTATTACCTTTCGACGATAGTATTGTTTCATTCAAGAAAACAAGGTTGTTCCTATAGATCATATCTCGAGTTTTATGAGGACTGAAGACAGTGAAGTTCAGGGTAAAAAATTATTCAATACAACTTGATAGCTATATCTCGTTTTTGAACTGTATACTCATTATTTTCTGATGCAGGAGAAAGTGGACTTGATTACAACAGCATTGTCTTCAACGAAATAGGGATCAAAGATACCAAAACCGAAGATATTTCGCACGGATTCATCGACGATGAACATTTTTTACATGAAGGCAACATCGACGACGATGATACAAGAAGCTCATCGAGCTACGGGGTTGTTGAGGACATCAAAATCAATCATGGAATGTTTGTTTCAACTCGGCAAGTAGCCAACACGTTCTTTCACCAGGCACTGCCTTCTCAAACAGTAAAGGTTCACAGGAATCCAATTACAGCAACCAGCTTATTCCAGTTCCACATGGACAAATCAGACTCAACTGAGTCAAGCTATAACAAGGGAAGATCGTTCTTCACAAAGCTATATGCATTCAGCAAAGGAAAGTGTACGGAAACCCTCAGCTCCATGAAGTCACGTGCAAGTGGTTTTCTTTGCATGGCTGTGCTTTTCTTAATGCATAGCTTTTATCTTGAGGTTGAAGAAGGTGGAATAAGTGAGGAATTTGTGGACACTGGATCAAAGGTAAAGGTGGTTTTCAAGTATTTGTTGGCAAAGGATAATGGCAGGTAGAATGATTTTGGCTTGCTTGTGACAATGTTGGCATTTTTTCTCATAATTTTTTTTGGTAATGTGGACATTGTTAGCCGCTTTCTCAAACTCATTTAATGGAAGCCGCTTTCTCAAATTCATTTAACTAACTATATGTATTTTTTTAATTCATTCATAGTTTTTGTTGTAAACTGAGAAGGTATAATGGAAGCCGCTTTCTCAAAATCATTTAATTAATACAGTTGTAATATTTTCATACATATTGATCGTAGGTATCAATAAGTGAATGTTTTTATGATTGAAAACTGTAATTAGATCATTTTATAAATTGATACATACAGGAAACAGTATTTAATATGATTACATTTTAATTGTTTAGCCTATTCCCCATTAGTGAGTTGGTGATTTTAGGAAGTAAATTTGTACAATTCTTTTTGCTTAAACATATTAAATAATAAGGGATAAGGTTCATTTATGTATTTATATATTGTGTTTACTTATGTGTAATTGTGTTTACTTATGTGTAATTGTGTTTACTTACCTTCAAACTGAGTATTTAGAGATCTGGTTTACTTATTTATATATTATGTTTATTTACCTTCAGTTACCTAATTAATTCCACGTCTAAATAATCTGAAAGAAAAAAAATAATAAAGGGTGAGTTATATAATTTATTGTGTCCTCTATAAAAATATTACAATCAATATGACATAACATACAACATAATAATAAAGTAAAATAATAGATCTAACTAACCATCATCTAAACATTATAACAGGAGGTTCCCTTAACCTCTGTCTCCTTACAACCATAGAGGATGTGGAACTTACTTTTCGAAGAGGAACTCAAACCTCAAAAGAATGACCCAAAATAAGAAACAAGTTGAGGACTAACTCTTCAAAGTGGAGCTCAAGTTAACCTCCGAAGAGGAACTCAAAAAAGAAAACAAGATATGAATCTTACCCTCTAAAAAAGAACTCAAGCTAACCTTCAAGGAGGAAACTCAAAACCTAATATAGGATGAGAACCTTACATTCTGAAAAGAAACTCAAGCTAACCTCCAAAGAAGAAACTCAACAAAAATCTTCCACCATATCATCTCAAACCTCAAGTAGATAAATAAGGCTTAAAACATAGATAATCATAACATAATTTGAGAACTAAGTAGACATGCATAACATAAAACATGAAATTAGATCGTGTTCGTAATCATAATTGTACAACACAAATAGTACATACACATATAACTTCGTGCTCAAGGCGATCATATGAAAAATAAATCATACATGATTTAATAATAAATTATTTAATATAAAACATAATGTGTAACACTATTCATTCCTGTCAAATATACTACATCCAGATACACCCAAAACCACCATGAAAACCAAATGCAAGAGACAACCCAAGAAAAAGAAAACAATAAACACATTGATCATGCACACGACCTCAGCCTTACCTTCAAGCCATTTCCATCCTCACCAACGACTATAAACGTTGAGAGAGGAGGAAAACATGAGTCAGAAAAACATGCAAGATTAAAGAATAAAAAACTATGAAAGAAATAAAATAAAAGATGAGACAATGATGAAAAAAGAATCCATTCAAAGATTCATATAGTGTGGAGCCAAAAATGACGTGGGTAAAAATATATTTTTGACCAGTGAAGATCCAAAGATGAGACGATAGATCAAAATAATGGAGACGAAGAGTTTTAATCCAAATCTACTTAATTAAGATGCTTAACGATAAAAAGAACATTAGATTGAAGCTCATGTAAATGAGATGAGCCTCTCGATGTATTTTAGGGGCTCGCCGACAACTAATGATGGCGACTGATACAACGACAAATAGAAGATGACAGTGATGACAAGTGTAACGTCCCAAATCCAAGTTAGTAGTTTCAAGCTAAGCTGAGAGTATTTTGGATAACCCATTAGCCTTGTAGGAAACCTCGGTTTAAGTTTTAGTTGGGTTGGGCTTGGTTTGAGCCCAATTAGACATGAAAAGCATATTTTTTTAGTTGAGACCCAAATTAGAGAGACCAAGGAGGTGATTTACCCATTCTTATTTTGAAAGGATGAATCCCATTAATTGGGAATGAGGTCACGCTGGAACTATCTTTTTTCCTTTTACTCATTTGTCATCTTCTTCCTTCAAACACCATCTCTTCTCCTTAGTGGCTTGAGTAAAGGTGGAAACTTCGTTGGCTTACCTCTCTAGTCCAGATTTACAAAAGTAAAAAATGAAATTAGTATCATCAGAGCTTCTATTTAAGCCCACAAAATCAAGATTTAGCTATGGTAGCCATAAGTAGGGGTTTTTGTGGGGATTAGAAACCATGTTTATACAACTCATTTTTAGGGATTTAAGCCTTAGGAAACCTTCTTAACATCTTTATAAGTTTTCAAGCAAGTCAATAACTCATCTATTTGATCATTGTCTAGTGTTTCAGTAGCTTAGGATTCAAAGTAAGTTAGTAACTCATCTATTTGATCTTTGTTTAGTGTTTCCAGTAGTTTAGGATTCAAAGTAATACATTTCTAACTCATTTATACCAATTGTAGATCACTAGATTTGTTTGGTTAGCTTATATAAATTCATGAAGCATATAAGTGCATCCATGCTAGATTCCAATTTATGTTACTATATAACATATAAATTGACCTATTATGAATCATTTAATCTTACATAAGACTTAAATAATGTTTGAGATCTTAGGGGGACTTATGGGTGAAGTTAGGTGTAATTTTTGTGCTAAAATAGAGTATTTATGGGCTCAGCTATCAGTATTGGATGAACAGTGCCGATATTATTGAGATAGCCAAAACTAAGGGATTGTGTCTGGGTAGCATTAATAGTAATTTTGGTATTGGTACTTAGGGAGTATCGATACTATACCAAACAAAAGTACCGATACCCTAAGTAAGGGTATCGATATTGATTTTAATTTACAAAATATCAAACCCAATTTTGATATCGATACCTAGGATGGTATCGATACCCTAGTAGAGAAGTACATATACTCCAAATAAGAGTATCAATACTACAAGGCTTCCTCATATACTAATAGTCAGATTTGGTATCAATATTAAAGGTCAGTATCGATAGTAAGGGGTCAGTATCGATACTAAAAAGCTTAGTATCGGTACCCTCGTCCTGAATTAGACGAGAGACCCAATTTGATCCAAGGGTTTGGGAAATGGTCTAAGACCATCAGAACTTTTCTAATAAAAATACAAGTGAAAACAACAAATTGATCCAACAAAAGCTAAGAATCTTATGAAATTAGATATCATAAAACTAGTATTTGTATGACACTAAAGAAATAGTAAGAACACCTAAGTTACTCTAGTAGTATAATGAATGTCTTGTATGATTAGAATATCAAGATATATCTCTGGTAGTGCCAAGGCACTTTAGTTGTTGGTTTTGCGTAGATGCCTAAGTACTCTTAAAGAGTAAGTTGGTTGGGTGTATGTTTTCAAAGTAGTTTCAAATCTTACCCAAGATACCCAAGGGTATGATAAGTAGGCAGAGGGGTATACATTCCGAGATGCAGAACCATCTGATGACACCACAATATCTACCTTAGTTTTGTATGTTAGTGTTCTTGTATGTTTATGCCTCTTCTTGTTACTATGCTCATGATGTGAATGCATGTAGTATAATATAATTATTTGTGTGGCACTAAGTATATGATCTCAACGTTCAGAATATGTTTCCATGTGCTTGTTTTTAGGAGATATCTTGAGGAGCTTATCATCGGTTCATGATTCTAAACTTGTTGAGGCGTCAAGGAACATTCTTTTTAGAGGGTATGTATTATTCATGGACCTTTATGTATTAAGTCGTAACTTTATTTGGATTTAAATACTATGATGTTAATTTGGGATATATCTGGGAGCTTCTTGTTTTGTAAACTTCGATACTTATGATTTCATTTATGTTTATAAATTAATGGTATTTTATTCATGAATGAAAAGTTGTTTTAAAAGGAAATTTTTTGGGATAACCACTTTAGTAGTCCCGTGTGATACTTTAAATCCTTCAATCTTTGGGTCGGATCAGATTAAGGTCTTATATTTAGTTGTATCATAGCATCAGGTTCAGTAGTTTTTAGGACCAACGGGCTAGAGTCAATAAAAGTTTATATGTGCACATGCATCTGGTGTGTTAAGAGTATTTAAATGTCTAGAATGACGGTAATAATCTCTCTTCCTTTTTTAAATTTCAGAAAAACCTATGTCTTATAATTTTGGCCCCAATTAGAATGGTAAGGAATAGAGTCGTACCTCTTTAGCTGACGACATCATCAACAGTTTGTTTCAGCTTCTGAGTAGTATGAGATCCAAAAAGATGCGGGGGTCAATGAGGTGACCTTCTTTAGTGATCTGACCATAGTACTTAGGTAGATTGTTTGGGTTATCCCCATGGTGCCAGATGTACCACCTACCCACTAGCACTCTTTTCCCGCCTATCGTATCATCACAAACGTCCCTGGTAATGATGCTTCATTTTATAAAACCACAAACTTCTTTGATTCTGGGAAGATGACATCATAATAGTGAACCAATGGCTTAGGATCTACATGCTCTGTCAGTTACATCTTACCCTTGAGGGTAAGCTTGAGTGTGTCATTACATTGTTAAAGGGTGATACCATAGATTGGTGGGTGGGGATGTGAGAGTTGGAAATGGAGCCAAAGAGATCGATGTGGGAGTATTTCTTATATGAGTTTCATAAAAAAATATATCATGAAGGCTCACACAAATGACTTGAGGGATCGACTCCTATACTTGGTTTAGGATAATCGATCATTATATGCGTACGAGTGTGAATTCCTCCACTTGATTAGATATGCACCGAATCTGGTATCGAATGAGGACCATCACTTTCAATGATTTAGATAGGGTTTAAACCTTGAATTATCACACATTTAGTAGTCGACCCTTTCAATATCTTTAACGAGCTAACCTATTAGGCAAAGACGATTGAGAGGGTCCAAAATCTGATGATTA